CCCCTCCCCTCCCCTCCAGCTGTCCCCATCTCCAGATCCCTTTCCCAAACTAAACAAAGTCAGCGTCCCTGTTTCCTACCGTCTATTTTTTATTTGGCCCTTCAAACTATTTATATTTTGGGTTTCTTTTTTTTATTATTTTTATTGAGTTTATTGGTACAATCTAGGTATACAATATAGTTACATTCATTATTGGGATTCTGTACCTTTACATAATAGGTCTTGATTCCCATTTTTTCCCCTTACCCCTGCCCTCCCTTCACCCCTCCTCCCCTCCCCATTTACAAACACTTTATTTCCATTTTTCAGTTTCTCATATTTTTTTCCTCTCCCTTATTATCTTTCCCCCACCCTTCCCACTTTCCCTACACCTTTAGCCCTTTACTTCCTATTTCACATTATTAATTATCTCATTAGGATCCTGTGTACTATTATAGTTTTTCACACCAAAGAAACTATTCGGTATTTCAGTTAAAGAAATCCCTGTATGAACATTAAAAATAGGGAATCCTAACATAAAACTAAAAGGGAAAGGAAAAGGAAAACTCAATAATGTAACATTAAAATAATCCTTAATTCTGGAGATGAAAATGGTCCCTGAACATATTTAAATTGCTTCTTGCTCTTATAGTCTTCTCTTATTCTTTTTTTCATTATTTAGAGAATACTTTATTAGTTTCTGTAATCAAACCCATGTACATATGACCTTACATATTTACTACAATGTGTTACCCCTGTATACATGGAAAAAAAATAAAAAGTAAAAATGAAAAAAATTAACATTTCTAGACCAATATGGCTGTCCATTTCTGTACAATGCCAACTCAACACAGTAAATTGGGATGACTTTTGGCAAAATTGGTAGCACCGTTAAAGTTTCCCAAAATTCAATTTATATATATATATGAGTGTGTGTGTGTATATATATATTTATTTATTTATTTTTATATAAAAAGGCTAATAATAGCAGTATGTAATGCATCAATAGCAGCAACAGCTTTACCAGGTTCTGCAGTCATCTGGACAAAATTATAGACATTCAGCACATTCCATTAAAAACAAAACAAAAAGAAACAAAGAAAAGAATAATATCCAGAAAACAGCAAAGTTCTGTTGCTGTTGTGGTACCTGGCACCATTTTCTTTATTAGCATCTTAATCATCATCTGGAGAAAGAACATTCTAGAGTAATATCTATCATTAAATGTAGCTCTGATAAAGCACGGTCCCTACTATGTATCATAAAGCAGGTATAAGATATTTTACATTCATAGAGGTATTATACAGTACCGTCCTACATCAATAATACTAAAATCAGTTTTGGTTTGAAATTTACTTTGTCTGCAAATAAGATTGCTGCCCCTGTTTTTTTCTGGGCTCCTGTCACATGGAGAATTGTTTTCTATCTTTTCACTTTCAGTCTATGGGCTTCTTTTTGCACTAGGTGTGTTTCTTGTATACAGCATATTGTTGGATTTTGCTTCTTATTCCATTTTGCCAGTCTATTTCTCTTGATTGGTGAGTTGAGGCCATTGACATTGCTGGTTATAACTGATATGTACTGACTTATTATTGACATGTTGTTGGCCTTTTGTTGACTCTTTTTACTTTTTCACCTTCTCCTTTTAATTTCTTGCCTTGCCTATTTGATTTGCTCTGTTGGGCCTCAAGGTGTTGTTGCCTTCATTGTCTTTTTCTATGATCTTGTTTAGAATTGCTTGTAGTGCTGGTTTGGTATTCATGTAGTTTCTCAGGTGTTCTTTGTCGTGGACTTGTCTTATTTCCCCATCCATTTTGAAAGAGAGTTTTGCAGGATACATCAGTCTAGGTAGGAGGTTGTTCTCTTTTAGAATTTGAAATATCTCATTCCAGGCTCTCCTTGCCCCAAGGTTTTGTGTTGAAAAGTCTGCTTTGATTCTGATGGGCTTTCCTTTGTATGTGATTTGTTTCTTTTCTCTTACTGCTTGTAGTATTTTGTTCTTCTGTTGGGTTTCTGGGATCTTGATTATTATATGTCTAGGTGTAGATTTTTTTTTTATTGTAGCTTCTTGGGGTCCTATATGCCTCAGTTATCAGAATGTCAAATTCTTCCCCTCTGTTTGGAAAGTTTTCTGTCATTAATTCTGCAAACAGCTTTTTAAAGTCATTTGTATTTTCTCCTGCTACTTCATGGATTCCTATCAGTCTTATGTTATTCTTCTTTGCATCATCTAGGAGTTGTTGGATCAATTTCTCATGATCCCTTACTGCTTTTAAGAGACCTCTCTTTTCTTTTTTTTCAGCTTTAATTGAGTTTATTGGCACATTTTAGGGATACAGTACAGTTACATTCATTGTTGGGATCTTGTACCTCTACATGACAAGTCTTGATTCTCATTTTTTCCCCTTGCCTCTGCCCTCCCTTCACCCCCTCCTCCCCTCCCCATCTACAAACACTTTATTTTCATCTTTTCATTCTTTTCATGGTCACTGACTGCAATCTTATCTTCTATATCTGAGAGTCTATCTTTGCATTCTTTTATTCTGTTGCGTACACTTTCTATGGAGTGTTTAATCTCCTGGATATCTGTTTGAATCTGTTTTATGGATTCCATTTCTTTCCTATGTTGGGTGTTTTTTTTTTCCATTTCTTTCTTATCCTGGGCCTTCATGGCTTCTATCATGGTTCTGAGCTCATCTATTTTTTTTGTCAGTTTCTACTCTAGAGTCTCAAATCACAACTTCCATTTTGCTCACTATCTCTACGGTTATCTGGGAAATTACTTCTGTTTTAAATTTTTCTAGAGCCTGATTGATCTGTTTTGTTACTTCCTGTGCTTTGAGTTCAGGGGGTCCTCGTGGTTCACTATCGGCCTTTTCATCCTCATTTGCCCTACTGTTTGCCATTGGTGAACTGGAAGTCTGTCCTTGTGTCTTGCTTAAGTGTTTTCTCATTTTTATTTTTGTTGTCGGACTGTCCTTGGTTTAATCTCTGGATTATCACCCAAATCTTCCTGATATATTTGCTCCCGAGCTTCTGTGTCTCTAAGGACCCACAGACATTCTCATCTTCATAACATCAGAGAAACAGCTCATCAAATCATCTGCAATGCTTTATCCCAACTGATACAACCAGCAACACATTAAGATCAAGCACAACTT